AAAGATTACGTTCTTTTTTAAATTACGATTGACTATATATACATATAATTAAATTAAAAATCTACATTCTCTTGCAGGTTAAAATAAAATCTTCTTTCATTTTATCAGTAAATTTTTAAATTCAAATTAAAATTCAAAATACAGTTGACTATATATATAATTAAATTAAGAATCAACATTCCCTTTCGGGTTAAAATAAAATACTTTTATTTTTAAAAAAGTTAATACACACAATCCCAATATAAGTACTCCATTAATTATGCTATCTAGTTGTAACCGAATATTCATATACAATATTCAAGCACACACATGAGAAAATATTGATATATTTGATAAATGACCGACAAATTTTTTCAAAATTTTTAAAATTAACAATAAGATTTACATGTTATGTCCATTCGAATTAATTTATCGAATATTTACCAAACTCTGATGAACATATATAATGGAACGAAGGAAATAATTAGGTGTAAACACGGTATACATTACTTTTTCTAAAACAAATTTCAAGAACATAAATATAATAAGTAAAGGATTGCAAATAATGTATATTGAAAGAATGTAATTAGAAATAAAAATTCTTGAAGAAAATTATGGAAAAATGGTTTAAAGTTTTTTTTTAATGAAATTCCTTCCTAGGATGCTTGTTATTCACCGATCTTTCTTAATCTCTTTCATCGTTACGGTCAAGAATCTTCAGATGTTTCTTAGATTCCGGAGTCAGAGAAGATCTATAGGAAATATTATCAATGTCTTTAGAACTCATAGGCATCAACGATTACTACAAAAGAACAAAGTTGTGAACAACTTAGCAACTAAAAATATTTAAGCCAAATATTACTATATCCAATTAATTATGACATATTACATCAGATCTAGAATCCCAATCAGTCATAATAAAATACTAATTTGCTAAATTTAAAAGGAAATATACTGATGAGAACGTTTCTGTTGACCTTGTCGTCGTTGATTGACTTAAAATCAGTTAAATATTTTTCAAAAATGTTTGAAGGGAAATCAGTAATCTCTTTCGCCCGAGTGGTCCTGCAGAAACTGATATTGAATGGTAATGGAGTAGTCCTAAAAACACCATAGTACTTTTTGAATCAGAAGCAATTAATCGAAAGTGATTTCCCTTCAATAAGAAGACCCTGATGTTTTTCAATCAACTCTTCATCAATTGTGGCGTGAATCCTAGTTCCTTGTACAAAACAAAAATAGTATAAGTATGTAATCTAGAGATTGCGAAAATAACAGAAAATGGAGTACATACCTCTTCGTCCAGCAAAACCATTTCTATTATAAAACCCGACTGTTTGTTCTTCACTTTTCATAGGTAAAATATCTTATCCCTATCTTTCTGAATTTCAGTGGATAAATATAATTTTACAAAAAGAACTATAAGTGCTGAATGGCTGCGTACTATAGACATTTTGAGAAAAAAAATGGTATCTTTTTAGGATTTTGGAAGGCTTCAATATATAAGAAGAACAATTGAGCACAAGAAAACCTTAATTATTGATATTTGGAGGGATACTCATTAATTTAAAAAAGAAATGGAATTCAAATTCAGAATATTCATATTGTGCATAGAAGTAGGTGTAGTTCTGGAAATCTTTGACATTCAAAGTTTCAGACTGATTGAATTGCCAAATGTGACGGGTATATAATGAAATGAAATCTAACTGATTAAATATGAAATTAATATTGGAAAATCTAACTAATAAATATGTAATACCATCTCCATCGCCAAGTTATAGTGGGAATATAAGGGTTTTAAGCATTTAAAAAAAATCAGAAAAAGGATAAAACGCTTACATACTGGGTTGATAAACTCTTGTGGAAGAACTTCTCCCTTTTGGATATATAACCACGTGGCAGCACTTAATTGGAAGAAGCTTTTGGCAAAAAATATGTTCACCTCGTTTTGGGCTTCAGAAGGAAATTTTTTAAAAAAATCAGCCCATTAAATCAGCCCATTTAACACTTTAACAACTCCTAAAGAGTTTGAGAGATGGACTTCAAAAAAGAGAAGGGATTCTTAATTTTTAAAGATGTCAAATTTAATATTAAATAATGTTTAACAATCCCTCATGAGTATGAAGGTGGAGATGCTCTAATATTATATTTTCTTCCAAACGATTATTAGGCGAAACGTTTTAAAAACATTTTCAAAAATGTGAATGAATGGGCCGTATTTTCGTTTGAGCTTTTGGATGTTTTATAAAGAAAATAAAATGTGACGGGTCGGGTATAAAAGATCCGCGTGTTTATCCGTTTTTAATTTCTTCGAGTATTTATAATTGTTAAACAGAAAAAATTAAAAAAATATACTGAGTCACATTTCTTAACAAATCATGTTTTGCAAATTCAGCATCTTTGCCATATCACATTTGACGTGGAATAAATGTCATTATTAACGGGATAAAGAGCTCCAGGGAAGCGATCTAGTCAGCGAAATTAAAATAAATAAGCGATTTTTTAATATTTTCATTAATCTATATTCCCATTTAGTATATAGGATCCCCAGTAAACTTCCTTCAATTAATATAAAAAATTTTAGTTATCAATTATTTTAAGATTAAGAAAATATCTATTTTATCATAAATAAAAATGAACCATACAATGACTTCGTTGGGTAGGCAATTTGTACGATGCTTGGATATGTGAAGATTTGGTCCACTTCTAGGGATCCACTTGATTGTTACTCTTCCATTTATTTTCTAAATGCTTGGAGTCTTTGGACTGTGGAGCAAAGGTTATCCATTAAGGAGTACTTATCCCACGTGAAATACTCACAGCCAAAGATTCGCAATATTATACACAAAATTGTCACTAATCCGACCATAAATAAAATAAACGACAAGATTAATTATTATGAATTTAAAAAGCCTATTTGACATCTTTCAGATTGGCTCGGGAGACAAATCCTCTTAAATAAATATCACCTAACTTACTTTTTAAAGATAATTTTTGGTTCGTGGCTATTAAATTAAAGAAGCCAAAACTTTTCAACTTTTGCTTCGATTATAAGGCTCTGAATGAATAAACAATGATTATCACAAGCTATCATAAAGACTAAAGGAAGTAGAATCACTATCAATTATATTCTCATAAACTATATTGAGAAAATTACGAAAAAGGATGATTATCCATGTTAGAGGACAGATATTTTTTTTTAATTTCATATACTTGATTGATTAAAATATGGTTTCATATCTGAAACCTAAATACACATATTATATTTGTATTATAGCTGAAATTATGACGATCAAAATCTATAAATAAAAATAAATAGAGAACTTTATAAATAAAAATAAACAGAGAACTTTGGTTGTTTTTTTTATTGTAGAAGATTGGAAAATGATTATCAAACAATAATCAAAAAAATTGTTGTTCAACAAGATCAAATATGATTCATGAATGGTTTTAACATAAAATTTGCGGAGTAAACTTAATAGTTTTATAAAAATAAAAATAAGTATTTTAGTACAAAGCTAGTTGCAATAAGAAATGGTCGTCGAATGTTTTTTTACTCTTTGTCCTTGTTTTGATTTTATACTCCACGATTGTGTTTAATTTTACCGTTTATTTCATCTAATTAACCATATATTGTTTTAATTCCAAGGCTCCAACCATCAAGATCAAATGCCTTAATTCACTAGTTTGAATGAGTATTTGGTCTGGCTGAGATTGACTAACAGATTTGCAATTAATAACCTTTCAGCATTTGATACCTTTCAGCTCGGCTTGTCAGCTCATATACTTTCTTGATTTTGTCTGGTTTTTAATTATTGGGCTTATTTTTAGTAGACTGAATTTTCACCCTCACTGTTAGCCCTCTAATTCATTTGAAAGATATTTGGACCATTTGAAAGAATTCAAGGAGTTATCATTTATCTAACTAAAATCCTGGCAAACAAACTTTTTTTTTTTTCCTTTTTTCCCTTGCAAATCACTTGATTTTTGATTTGTTATCTGGATTTTCTCCGCTAATCTTTCTATCTACTTTCCTTTCTCCTTACCACTTTCTTCTTTAGATTCTCTTCTTTCCTCTTCAAATTCTTCATAATTCCAAGCTTCTCTTTTATCGATAAGTTGTTTCTCATGCGATTATTTTATTGCTTCTCTAGATATCTTCTTTCTCTAGAAACTTTTTTCCTATAGCGCTGTTATGGATATTTTCGTCAAGTACCGTTAGCTTCTTCTTACTACGCTAACTATCGACCATGACCATAAGATGGTTGATACCACTGATGGTTGTTGGACCAATTTTTAATGCAGCCCAATAACTCATTAAATATTGCTAAGTGTGAAAAGAAATTGATGCAGCGCATCATTACCTTGTCTTACACATATTAAGTTTTTGTGCTAGACAATGATTCGGTTTTCTATTTCTTTTGCGTTTTTTTACTTATCGATTGTTTTTCTTTTTCTCTTAAAAGTTATATTTCCTCTTTATATTAGGTTAGATGTTAACCTAATCGTTGAACTATTATTATAAATAGGTTTCTAGATATTTGTAAGAGATCAGCCATCTTTGAATTGAATTTATAAAAGAGTTTTCTCTTATTTTGAGCTTTTGCAATAAGAGTACTCTTCAAAACTCAACCCTAGTTTTGATCTATCGGTGATACATCAAAACATATCCCACTTATTCTTGAGCTTCTCGGGAAACTCTTAGAACAAGTTATCGTTACTAGCTTTCGCTTCTACATCAGAAATGAAACCCAACAGCTCATTAATATGTGAGGACATATCAAAAATCCTACATTGAAACTTTGAAAAAAGTTGGAGTGATATAAATATATAGACACAACTATGTCTTTAATCAAAAGTGTGAAGGAAAACCAAAGGATGTTCTTTTTAAGCCACGTTTTGGTTAACATTTCTCATCCAAAACATAATGATTTTTGGTCCAGATTCGAATTGAATTGATGACTTAATTCAGTCAACAGTCAATCCCGAAAATCTTGCCAATTGAATTGACGACTTCAATGAGTCAACAGTCAATGATCAATTGCTAAAATCTTGCCAAAAATCATGGCCAGTTAAAGCGTCATTAACACGCAAATTAATTGTGGATTCCTGTCAAAGCTCTCTTCTCATAGGCTATATATATGAAGCATGGAAAACCACATCATGCTAACGACATATGGAAAACCACATCATGCTAACGAAGCATGAAAAACCATTGGTCACACAGACATTTATGTGGTTTGCCTCAACCACCAAGCGATGAAGATCATCTTTTCTTCCAGGCATGACCCGCAGTATAATATAGTCGAACCCTATGTCTCCGCACAGGTCGATCACCTCGTTCGAACTACTCTACAATCATTAGCCAAGCAACTGAGATGAACAAACAAGTATGCTGGTGCTTCATCTAATGTTTTCTTTAATCAATTCACTTTCTCATGCTCCTATCTATATGCATCAATCATATTAGTGTTCGTACTTCGTGACACAAATTAACCAGAGTAGATCTAGATTCAACACATCAAAGATAAATAAATAGAGCAATATAAGCCAAGATCTAATCCTCACCTTGACATTTTTGCAGACCTGGAGCAAGGAGAGTGCGTGACGAAAGAATCAAAAATTCAACAAGAAGGTTGGGATTCTCAGTGACTTTTTCTCTCTCCGACAGCGGACAGCGGCGGCAGCGCAACGTCGGCGGTTGGCAGCATGATGGCGACGGATCAGCGGCGGCGGCTGAGAGCAGAGGGAATCTCTGTCTCTCAGAACTCTGTCTCTCTTTCTCTCTCTCTCTCTCCCTCTCTCTCTCTCTCTCTCTCTCTCTCTTTCTCTCTCTTTTCTCTGTGTGGCTGTAAATGATGATGAGGGGAAAAGTGAGAGGGATGCTCTCTATTTATAGGGAGAGAGGAGGGGTTGCTGGGGCGGGCTGGCTGCTGGGCCTGAGAATTGGGGATGTTACAACTCTTCCCCTATTGGAAAGAATTTGTAACCGAATTCAGTCCCTCCTCATATGTTTCCATTCCGTCCTGAAAGAGTTCAGGGTACTTGTTTCTCATCTGATGCTCCCGTTCCCATGTCTCCTCGCGAATATCATCTCTTTCTCAACTGACTTTCACCATTTTGGTCTTCTTACCATCAATCTTATTCTCTCCGAATTCCAAAATCTTAGACGGCTTACTTAGAACTGTTAGATTCACTTCCAGGTTGATTGGTGGGTTAGGCAGAATGGACTCTGGTTACATACTAACTTTCTAAGTAGCGAAATGTGTAGCGAAATGTGGAATACAACATGAAGTTCATATAACTCTTGAGGCAGCTGGAGTCGATATGCTACTTCACCAATTCTTTCGACTATGGGGTAGGGTCCCATATACCTCGGCTTAATCTTTTGCAGCTTCTGGGGCCTTTCATTTCCTCTAAAGGCTCAGTTTCAGATACAATACATCTCCCACTTCAAATGACAAATCTCTCCGACGCATGTCTCCATAACTTTTCTGGCGGTCATGAGCCTCTTTCAACCTTGACTTAAGCAATTTCACTTTCTCAGCGGCATCCTTTAACAAATCAGGACCCATTTCTCTCAATCCCCCCCCCACGGTTGTCTAACAGAGTGGCCTACGGCACGGTCTTCCATACAGTGCTTCATACGGAGCCATTCTGATGCTAGAATGATAACTGTTATTGTAGGAAAATTCCGCCAACGGAAGATACTTCCCCCAATTTTCTTCCCAGTCCAGAACACAAGATCTCAATAAGTCTTCCAAAAGTCTGAATTATCTTTTCTGATTTTCCATTGATTTAAAGATGAAAAACCGTACTCAGATGCACTTTCGTTTCCAACGTTTTCTGAAACCCTTTCTAAAACGAAGCTGTGAATTTCGCATCCCGGTCTGACATAATGCTGACCATAACTCCATGTAGTCTCACAATCAGGTTCAAATATTTTTGTGCCAAATTTTATGCTCCAGCAGTTTTCCGTATTGGCACGAAATGAGCAGACTTAGTAAGACAGTCCACAATTACCCAAATTGCATTTTTTTATCCAATATCATCGGTATACCTGTCACAAAATCCATGGTTACAATGTCCCATTTCTATTCTGGTAATGGTAAAATCTGAAGTAATCCACTAGGTGCCATGCGTTCCGCTTTTACTTGCTTACACATTGCATATTACAAGATCCATTTTTCTATGTCCCTTTTCATTCTTCCCTAATTATAGTATCTGTTCAGGTCGTGATACATCTTGGTATTTTTCGGATGAATGAAAATTTTTGAATTATGAGCCTGGCTCAACACTTCTTTTCTCAACTCCTCGTTGTTCGGAATACAAACTCGATTCTTATACATATAAGCTTAATTATTCGATGTGTGGTATCCAATCACCTGTTTCTCGACCATTTTTTTCAAAGCGTCATCCTTTCCGTGTTCCTATCAAATTTTCTGCAGTAGATCCGCATTTTCTAAAGCTTCTAGCTCCATGAAATTTTCTTCCCCTTCCATCACACACAACTGATGACTCGCTAAGGTCGCAGTTAGATTCTCCATTTCCTTTTTCTTAGCGATATAGCTTATGCGTTGGTTCAAAGCATCTGACACTTGATTAACCTTTCCCAGGCGGTAGGCAATATCCAGATCATAATCTGCCAACAATTTCATCCCTCTTCGCTGCCTCAATTTCAAATCACTTTGGGTGAAAACACATTTCAAGCTCTGGTGATCCGTGTATATTTGCACCTTCTCCCCGTACAAATAGGTGTGCCAGATTTTTAAAGCGAACACAACTGCTGCTAACTCCAAATCATGAGTGGGTCGTGCTTCCGCAACTGTCTCGAGGCATATGCTATGACTTTTCTTTCTTGCATAATTGCGCCATCTATACTCGTTCCACATGCATCAGTTTAGACCTCATACGGTATTACTGTCCTTGGAAGTACATATACTGGAGTTTTGGTCAAACACTTCTTCATCTCCTCAAAACTTTTAACTTCGAGCCTCAATCCATTCAAATTTTTCATCTTTCTTAACCAAACTCAACAATGGCTTTGACAAACTCGCAAAATCTGATACAAACCAACAGTAATATCCGGCTAGTCCCAAAAATCTATGGACCTCAGTAACACTTTTAGGAATAGGCCATTCTGTCACAGCATCAATCTTTTCCAGATCCGCTGCTACTCCTTCTTCTGAAATAACATGACCGAGAAATCCTATTTTCTTCTGCCAAAAGCTACACTTGCTTAATTAAGGGAAGAGCTGATCCTGAAGCACTAATTACAGATGTCAAGCATGCTCCCTTTCATTTCTCGAGTAACCAAAATATCATCAATGAAAACAATCACACACTTGTCCAAGTATATTCAAAAAAGATTGTCCATCAATTTCATAAATGCACAGGCACATTCGTCAATCCAAACGGTATCACAATAAACTTGAAGTGTCCTTAACGGGTTCGGAATGCCATTTTCTTTATGTCCTCTTCAGCTATCTGAATTTGATGGTAGCCTGATGCTAAATCAACTTTCAAAAACCACGATGCTCTTTGCAGTTTATCCAACAACTCATCGATTCGTGGTAACGGATACTTGTTCTTAATTGTCACTTTATTCAATCTTCCATAATCGATACAAAAATGAAAACTCTCATCTTTCTTCTTTACGAATAACAGTGATGCTCTCCATGGTGAACTGCTTGGTGAGATAAAAGCTTTGTCCGTAAGGTCTTCCAATTGCTTCTTCAATTCTACCATTTCAACTGGTGCTAACCGATATGCAGCCTTCAAAATAGGGGCCGTCCCTGGTTCTACCTTGATAGTGAAATCATCTCCTCATGACGGTGGCGGTCTAGTCAACAGTTCAAATAGGTGTGCGTACTTGTTGGCTACTGGTATATCTTCTAATCTCTCCATCTCTCCTTCTCCGGTCATGGATTTCGCCGTTAGATACGCCTCACATCCTTTCTCCATTAAATCTGTGGCATTAATCATCGAGATTATCGACACACCAGTGTCCGTCTTAATTCCTTGGAACGTTAACATTTCTTCTGGTCGTGGTATATAGGCTCGCGTCTTCTTACTGTCCATAATGACTTGGTAGTGCGTCAGCCAGTCCATTCCGAGAATTACGTCATATTGGCTCAACTTCATCTCCATTAAATTCTAGAAACTCTGCTCCTTCTAGCAGAACTGCTACATCCTCATGCACACCAATAAACCTCACTTGTTTGGTCCCGACAGTCTCAATTGCTTTCAACTTTGGTATGAACTTTCCAGTAAAAGTCCAACACTTAGTCAACATCGGGCTAACGAAACTATGCATAGCACCAGTGTCAAACAAAGTGTAAGCTATCGCTCCCCCTATGGAGACAGATCCTATATAATTTTTATATTGATGTCTAAGTATGCAATTTCTATTTTACACAAATTCACAAGCATCACGACCAGCTTTTTTAAATTAAATTAATTCATTTACGTACCAACTATTGGTGCTGCTCCTTCATTCTCAGCAAGCGCATACACATATAGTCCTACAGCTTGCCTCTTAGCCGGTGGTGCTGGTAACGATCCTTGATAGGCTGTGGGGCCAGTTGATTGAGCGGAAACACCTTGCACACCTTGGCATAATGTTCATGCTTTCCACACCGGTGACACTGATCGCCCTTTCCAATAGCACATCAATCCTTCTGGAGGTGTCCACCTCTTCAACACCCAAAGAATCTGATTACTCTACAACATCCAAAGTGTTTCTTTTCACAGCGGTTACACATTCGAGCGTTCTCGGAAGGAATGCTTCCAGACATGTCAATCCAAGTCCTCTTTCGTGTCTCCTGAACACGAGTAGCACGAGCCTGAATGCTCCTGGTCTTCTTCAGCTCTTCTTCAATACCAACTTCCTGAATAGCAGCTGTTTCCACTAACTCCACCAAGCTTGAGTACTTCTTGATCGAACAACGATTCTTCAGCTCCAACCTCAAATCTTTCATGAACTGACAAACCTAATCAGCCTGAGTGAAACTCTTCCTTGAGAATCTCTTTAATCTGTTGAATTTCTCCTTGTACTCTCTCACACTAATATTTCCTTGGCGCAAATCCTCAAAAGCACTTTCTATATGGTCCATTGCCTCTGGTGAAAAATACTCACGAGAAAATTCATCCTTGAAGTCATCTCATGTCAGCTCATAGTGTCCATGGACTCCTTCTACCACACCTTTCAACCAAACCAGCACCTCGTCTCTCAAGTTCTGATCCGCTAACTCCCTTCGATAACCTTTTGGGCATCTCATGCACTCAAAATTCTTTTCCAACTTCTTCCTCCAATTGTCAGCAGTGACAGGGTCAAACTTTCCCCCAAATGATTCTATGTTCATGTCTTTCAAGTGCCTTATTGCCTCATAATATGTTAGTCCAAACGCATTAGGCTGCACTGGAGGCGATGGTGGCACAATCTGTTGATGAAGCGGTGGAGGTGCATACTGTTGTTGCACATCCACTGGTGGCAGCACCAATTGCTGCTGATCATACGCTGTAGACGGCACAAACTAATAATGAGCAGGCGCAGGAGGTGGTACATTCTTCTGCTGAACATCCACTAGCGGGTTACGCTCATTCTGAAAGTTACCAAACATTTCCTGGTAACGACGCAACTCTTCCAACAATGCAGCATGAGCTTTAGCTGTTACCTGAGCAGGGTTCGCCCCATTGTGGTTTTCATCAAGCACATTGTTCCAACTCTCATTTACACTTCCTTGAGGTGAATTGACTTCATCCTGGTTCACTGGTGGAATTACAGCATGGACTGGACCTTTTTTGGCTTTCAGAGGCATCTGAAAATAGAATAATAAGAGAATCAGCAAGCATGTCGACCCGGTCCCGTCTAGACTAATCTTCCTACGAATAAAATCATCACATAATGAAAAAAACATTCTAGGTGGTGATTTTGTAGAACTTTAAAAAATCCACAAAGTTTTTTTTTAATTCGAAATTCAGAAAACCGTTTTTTTTTACTATTAATCCTAGAACTACTTTTCCTGATACCACTGTGTGAACACCCGACCCATCTACCAGACGAACCAGCCTAAACACCCGACCCATCTACCAGACGAACCGGCCTAAACACCCTCGATTTCATATCGGTTTACCACATTTACCAAATCCGAATAATACTTTTACTCCATTAATACATTCAAAGTCTTGCAAATAAAATCCATAACTTAATTTTTAAATAAACCGAAGCAAATGCAATTCTAGTCTTTAAAAGAAATAACTGAAATTCAAATAAAACTTCAGAAAAACCCTTCCAAATCAGCACACCACTAGGGACTACTCCTTGTATCCTTCGAGAGCGTAATCTTCATACTCACCTGAAATTAAGAATGAAGGGTGAGCTGTTGGGAAATTACTCAGTGAGGACCAAACCCACACTTTCACTACATTTATCCATCTATTTCCAAGATGCGAAGCCTAAAACTAAACATGTAACAAGCAGAGCTCTACAAGCACACAAGCAATTTCATGCGCACCGGATCATAATGCTAACAAGGCATAGAAACCACATCATGCTAATAAAGCATGGAAAACCATTGGTCACACAGACATTTATATGATTTACTTCAACCACCAAGCGATGAAGATCATCTTTTCTTCCAGTCATGACCCCCAGCATACAATAATCAAATCTTGTGTCTCCACACCGGCACTACAAGAAAATAGTTATATTGTGACAAAAAATTTGGTTACAATAAATATTATTTCATAACAATAAAGATATTGTGACGTCTTTGTAACGATTTGAAAATGGTAACAATATGATCGTCACAAAAAAATTTTGGTAACAAAAACGTCACAGCGTTTGCTACGAATTTAAATAGTAATCATTTCATCACAAACTGTAACAATATAAACAAGTAGCAAAATTATTACAATTAGCTACTAAAAATAACATCACAAAATCGTCTTATTATGTGACTATCAATAAGTCATAATTCCGTTGCTCATTTGGGTGAAATTCTAGTCTCAAATTGTTACAAGAAAAGACTAAAAAGTGATCACTAATACGTCCTCATTTACGACTATTTCTGTCTCAAATTTGTCACACTTTATCACTAAATTATCATCATAAATACCCTTTAAATAGCTGATTTATCATATTAAATTTGGTTCTATTTTTCACTAAATTATCATCACAACATTTCATTTTAATTAAAAACTGATTTTTAATCTCAAATTTGTTACAAATTTACATAGTTATTTTTAAGATTAACTACCAAAGTATGTCAAAAAAGAAAAAAAACATACATATTAATAACCGTATACAGTAATAAAAATTATATCAAAATCTAAACTAACAATTTGAAAATAAATTACAAAAGGAAACATAAAATAATACTGTTCTCATATGCGGCTTTCTGATCTGCTCAAAGTTTAATCCCTAAGCTACTCTGCAAGAGCACAGATGTGCAGTTGTAGTATAATAGGGGTCGAACCACAGAGACGAGAGATTCGCTCAATAAACTCTATAGGCTTGAATTACGCTAAGAAAACACAATGAAATTAAAAGCAACAATGAAAGCAAAACGGTTGTAAACTCGATGGAAAAGAATTAGGCTCAGGATATTTCTCAGGAAATCACAGAATGCAGATTAATCGATAAATCAGGGTTCAGGGTTAAGCACAGTTCTTGAACTCAAATCACGAAATTATAATTAACCAACTTCCGTTGCGAGAATTATCTAAGTCTAAATCCTATAATTCCAAATTCCTTTGCAAATCCTAAAGACATAAACCAGCTTTAATGCTCAAGTTCGATATGTTCACAAAGTATCTAAACCGAATTCCTTTGCGAATAGCTACTTTGCTCACCCTAGGTTCTTTCCAGTTATTCAATTACACTTCCGTGTCAATCAATTAACCTAAGATCTAAGTTCTAGGTGGCCAGTCTAGAATTACTTTAAGAACAACCTATAGTGAAGAACTAAATAGATTATGAACCCTAACTAATCAATCAATCCAACATCTAATGAAATCCTTTATGAGAACCCTAAACCTAACAAGCAAACTACTCAGACATGGAGATTGAAGCAATAAACATGAATGAATAGATTGCAGAAAGCAGTAAATAGATTAATAAATAGGGATTCGAAATCTTCTCTCTCCGGAACAGAGTTTCAGACTTGTCTCCCCAAAAGCTCTCAAAAACAAAAGTTCTCTCTAAGAAAATCTAAGGTATCGATATAAGGTGGCTAAAAACCCTATTTATAACTTAAAAACACGTTTTGGGCTTCTTAGGGAATATTTGGAAACTTCTGGGTTCAACTCCTTCTTCAAACAGGAAACAAAATCGATTTTTCCTTATTTCTTCGATCGGTGTCGAGCGTCACTCTCCATGGTGTCGAGCGACACTAAAGCACAAAATCCATCATTGACGAATTTGATCCTGATTAAGCTCCAAAGTGCTCCAAAATCTCCAGTTAAGCTCCAAACGTACATAAGACCTGTAAAGACTCCAAAAGACTCGAAAAATACTAGAAAGACTCTATAAATAAGACCTATACCATGGTTAAAAACATTAAAACCATGATATATCAACTCCCCCAGACTTAGCATTTGTTTGCCCTCAAGCAAACAGAACACCAAATAAGAGAAAGAGGATTGAAAACGCAGAGACTCAACCTTTCACTGGAACATCGCTTTTGACCGATCGCCCTGCAACTCAACTACTGCTTCATCATTCCAAATCGAACCACCATGTACTTTTCCGCAGACATTCACAGCTTCCCAGATTAAGTCCAAAATTCCACAGCATTGTCCATAAACCCTCATCGCTGGGTCTCACTGATGATTCAGATGCCAAGAACCTTCTAGACTCTTTCCCGTACTATACTTTGACAAATCAGCCATACACACTTTGGTACTTTTTCTCTCCCCCAGACTTATTCTTTTCACACACTCATCATCTTTTTTTTTATGGCATATACTCGATAAGGGTAAAGCTGCGAGTACTGATGGTGTTTGCCATTGATAACACCGTATTTTGACCACTTTTATGGATCGTTTTGAAATACTTTTTCTATGTTTTCAATTACTTTTAAGTACTTTTATTACGTTTTTCTAGTATTTGTAGTTCCAAGACTCTTTTCAGGTAACTTAGGGAAAAGCTTAACAAAATGGATAGAAAACCAGATTTCAGCTCAGAGTCAAACCGTCAGAAGTTCACCCCTGATTGAAGACTTTCTCACCGTCTGATCCAGCTCAAATTTGGAGACCTTAAAGATGGAAGTATCAGCTTTCCATTGTACTTTACAGCTTGGCAATCCAACGGTTCAATCAAAAGATACGTGAAGAGCAAGATGTCCCGTAAACCAGCCGGCAAGCACTTCCACCCGCGGCCAAACACTCATTCCCCACGGTCAGGAGCATCCCAACCGCGGCCAAACACTTGTTCCCCGCGGTCACACTTGTCACGACCGCGGCCATCAACCTCCGAGCCCAAAAAGCCCATTTCTGAAGCCCACATTTGGAGAAACCCTAAGTGACGTCCAGAGAGGTCTTGAGCATTATAAATACATGTCTTAGGAACCCTATATCGTGGAACCGAATACCATCTATCATTACTTCATATTTTTATTGTTTTTGCTTTAGCTTTTAGGGAGAGAGAGATTTGTTCTCTTGAACCCTTGTTCTTTCTTCGTGATCTCTCCTCAATGGATCAGAATTCAATTCCGAACCACCACAAAAGAGGACTTCGCAGCCACTACAAATCAATTCGCGAAGGTTTAGAGGAACAAGGATTCTGCTGGGAGACCTTGTCAACTTACAATGCCCACGGAGATATCCATGATCCTCTCTTTGATGAAGATATGTCGTCTGTCTCCCAAACCGAGATTGATGATATGCTTCAGGAGCTCAATGAATCAATGGATGATGGGTATTGGGTATCTAGTGAAGTAGGTGGACAATCCTCCATCAAGTTTGTTAGAAAGAGCCCATCAAATGAAATTCCTTTGGATCATCACGTCATGGAAGCCAGCCATCAAGAAAAAGGAGAACCTCTTTCCATCCCTAGTGACGATCTCGTCTCTGCCGATTCATTCAAGTGTTTTGGAGACGACAAACAAGATCATAAGTCCCTTCCTCTTGATGAACCAAAGCCTTTTTCTCCTTCAGCTCCTCACCACCTTGAATGTAAGACAGACCACGTGGAAGATAAGACACTAATGGTGACATTTAAACCACCATTGGAGGCGCTTTCTAAGACGAAGGATTCCGAGAAGTTTGATGCCCCATTCTCAATCAAGGAAGTGAAATTTCGTGATTCTCTTTGTGAATCTGGACCTGATGTGAATCTCATACCAAAGACCATTGCGGAGAATACAGGTATTTCGATTTTTCATCCCTCTAAGATTTATATTCACTATGGAGATTTTTCTGGTGCAGCTCTACTTGGTTCCACCGGTTCCCATGCTATGGAGATGAGAAACAATGCAACAAAACCCTTGATACTTGGTATTTCGTTCCTAGCATCTGTTGGAACACTCATCAACTACCTGCATCAACATATGAGTTTCCTGAAGATCAACAAGAAAACCCCATACCCGGTGATTACTACAAGGAACTCTCATTGTCTGACAATAGGGAGCATAGATGATCCAATATTTGACCCTGGAGGAACTACAAAGGATGTTGGATACGTTCTAGAAAGAAGAGCACCCAAAGAAAATGCTGGATTTACAAGTTTGACAAACAAAGGTATTTTCCTATGCACACCTTTAACCAATGCTCATATAAGAGGTGATGCAGACGTAATTGAAGCAAGAGTGGAGTTTAAATGGCTCTCAAGACTCTTTTCCGAAGGCTCTCCACAAGGAAAAAGAATTGGAGACAAGAAGCAAGAGGATCTGAACATCTTTCATAGGACATTCGGCACCGCGGTCGCGTGTGCGCTACCAGCGGCCAAACAACCTTTCACCGCGGTCGCGACACTTCCACCAGCGGCCAATGCTCTTTTTACCAATTCTCCAACAGTTCAAGCCATGGCGACACCTCTCCAAGCAAACTGTCCTCACCTTGGATGCTTAACCATCTCCACCACTTCAGATCATAAAGAATCATCTGTCCTTGTATCTTGCAACATGGTTCAATGTCATGAAGTGAGAGAGACCTTATTCACCTCATCATACAAGCATCTAAGACGTTCTCCTGTCACAAGTGGTGTTGAAGACTCATACTTCAAAGAAGTTCCAAGACTGATTTTTGATCCTGGAGGAGGCTACCATCTCGAATCTGAAGACAAAATTTCCAATTGGAAATGGCGTTATAAGGGATATACAAAGGAAAACAAGGAGATGTCTAAAAAGACTTGTCTCAGGACAAGGTCTTCTTCATTTGAAATAAGTCTCGTCCAACACCAAAAGTCGAGCTAAACGACTTAAAACAGAAGCGCTTAATGGGAGGCAACCCATTTAGGTATTGTTTTCTTTAGGATTTTTCTTTCTTTTTCTTTTGATCTTTTTATTTTTCTTAGTTTCAGGTGTTTCTTATAAAACAAAAAAAAAAGCCAAAAAAAAAAAATCAAAAAAATCAAAAAAATCAAAAAACCCGAAAAAAAAATAAAAAGAAGGATGGTACCTGACTGCTCGGCCCAGCAGGAACCAAGGAGAAGCAGGAAGAGGCCGCGATATAAGCCCCTGCGGTCGCAGACGTTCTGACCGCGGGAAACCTATCATCGACCGCGGTCGCGTAGTTCTGACAGCAGCCAAGCGCTTGGTTGCCGCGGTCTTATAGCCCCTGACCGCGGCACTTGGTCGTTGACATCCAAACCCGACCCAAACCACCCCTTTCACCTCATTTCACCAATCACCCTCCACCTCATTCATCACCCTCCACCACCTTCATCACCACCCATCACCTTCCCAAAACCTCTTCGAATGAATCCGGTTCATCTCCACCAGCATCCCGGATCCAGGTAAGTTCTCTTTGTCCTTACCAATTCGATTATCTATGCATTTTTCTCATCCAATCTCGACTTTTTTCACACTGAGGACAGTGTGAATTAAGTCTGGGGGAGGATTTCATCCCTTTCTAACCACTTTTCTTTCATGAGTCTTGCATTATCTACACTTTTTGCATTTTCCTTAAAGTTTTTCAGAATCGGTTTTCAAAACAAAATATGTTTTAAAGGGAATGGTGAACATGAATCAATGATAGTTGACTGTGTGCTTTAGACTGTTCCTAGTGACATGCTCATTCATGATTTAGGACTAGACTAGGCGGTAGCTAAGCACATTTGAAACGAAGTACCCCAGAGGAATTTGAATGATTTCGATTTAGATGAAGGGATACACTAGCTCTGTTTTATTTGGACTTAATTTTGACTTAATTTTCTCATTGAAGCATTAGACCAGGGAAACGAATCATACATTCAGGACTCCTTTATCCTTTTACCACTCTCTGTTGATCCTGAATGGCTAGTTCATCTTTAGCTAGTTCCCCACCTTAACCAATCCTCTTTCAAACCACATGCACTCTTGTTTTCTATTGTCTTATATGCAGATAAGTGCAAAAACGTTGGAGAGAAAGAGGAACGACGCAGTTTTCAGTCACCAATGACAGAGACCTGCGATTTGCCGGAAGAGTTCCCGGAAGGATTCAACACAAGAGGAAGCTCAGTTTGCCTTAGAAAAATCTCAAATTTTGGTACAATCTTGTCATCTAGTCTCTCTCTCTTTAAAAGGCATTTCCTTTCCAAAAAAAAAAAAAAAAAAATCCAAAAATAAGAAAAGAAAGGAAATAAAAGCCTTAGAGAGTCTAGAGAGGTCGAATTTTAAGCCCCAAAGCAACTGGAGTTTGATTTATGGAGTTTGGAGATTGTTTTCTGATTCCCGGAAAAAAATCTAAGTCTGGGGGAACAGCTGTTTACAACAAAGGAGGAAGGATTATGCAACAACATTTGGCAAGAAGAAGTGACTGAAAACTGTGGTCATCAACAGATCCTTATCTCTCCTGCGGTTTTGCATATTATCTTGCATCCTCCAGATCTTCAGGTAACCCGAAACACTTTAACTCCACCACTTAAATAGCCCTTTAATGCCAAACGCCGTCTACCCTGGATGATGTCTTTAATGAGAACTCACTATTGAACTTAATGAATGTAGAGAGCTAGTTGACTGGAATCAAGATTTAAATTGTTTAAGTTTTGCATGACGGAAAAAGTGGACTAGTATCTCTTGTGCATTGGTGAGAATTTTCTAGACTAAGTTGTGGATTGATGCACTATCTTTGGTCCTAGCTTAGGAGTTCATGTCTATGAGATTTGTGCATTCCCTATTTTTGTTTTCACTTAACCAGTTTAGGCTTTTGCTTTGTTTGAGGACAAACAAAGGTTGAAGTCTGGGGGAGTTGATAACACCGTATTTTGACCACTTTTATGGATCGTTTTGAAATACTTTTTCTATGTTTTTAATTACTTTTAAGTACTTTTATTACGTTTTTCTAGTATTTGTAGTTCCAAGACTCTTTTCAGGTAACTTAGGGAAAAGCTTAACAAAATAGATACAAAACCAGATTTCAGCTCAGAGTCAAACCGTCAGAAGTTCACCCCTGATTGAAGGCCTTCTCACCGTCTGATCCAGCTCAAATTTGGAGACCTTAAATATGGAAGTATCAGCTTTCCAGTGCACTTTACAGCTTGGCAATCCAACGGTTCAATCAAAAGATACGTGAAGAGCAAGATGTCACGTAAACCAGCCGGCAAGCACTTCCACCCGTGGCCAAACACTCATTCCCCACGGTCAGGAGCATCCCGACCGCGGCCAAACACTTGTTCCCCGCAGTCACACTTGTCCCGACCGCGGCCATCAACCTCCGAGCCCAAAAAGCCCATTTCTGAAGCCCACATTTGGAGAAACCCTAAGTGATGTCCAGAGAGGTCTTGAGCACTATAAATACATGTCTTAGGAACCTTATATCGTGGAACCGAATACCATCTATCATTACTTCATATTTTTATTGTTTTTGCTTTAGATTTTAGGGAGAGGGAGATTTGTTCCCTTGAACCCTTGTTCTTTCTTTATCAATTTCGGTTTCTATTCTACTTATTAATACTATGTTTTTTATTTCGTTCATTATGTCTTAGTAGTTTTATTGTTGGGATTAAGGGATTTTCGATGGGGATTTATATGTTCGATGAGGATTCCATGAGCTTTTGAGCCGAATCTTAGAACTTTTTCTTCTGAATTCGTTTTTACTGCATGAGAGTAGCGTCATGAACTACAATCTGATCCAGATGCTTGGTGACACGAAAGTGTTCATCAGGTATCAGATCTAGTTTGGGAGAGCAAAACAAACATAGGAGTGGAAACCTACCTATGGGCGATTTGTGAATGCTGACGAGTCTTAAACATAATGCATCTCTTCTCTTCCAGGGCCAGAGTGGAAACCTACTGGTCAGGGTTGAGAGAGATAGTTGTCTATGATCACGACAGTGGCGTATTCATACGTCCGTGAGTCCAGTTCGAAAAGTTTAAGCTAAGATCTTATCAATTGTACTCTCTAGCAATGTTTTGAATCGTTCGTACCCCTGAGAAAACTTCCCTGAACCCCAACGCTTTCTTTTCCATTGATTTACACTGATTTTTCTTTCAAGGTTTAGTTCAATATTGTCTTTCCTTTTTAGTTCATTTTCATTTAAGCAATTAGATATCCGTTTTTTATATTTTTAGTCATTTTCGTTAAGTTTAGTTATTACGTCATTTAATTCCCGTATTCTCTTTTAATATTTTGTTTTTACATTTTTAAACACACTACCAAACCCCTACAAAACCGTTTTGGTTCTAGACTTCCTTACTTTATACTTATTTCAAAGGCTTTTTGCAGGAAAAGATCCTCCTTCCCTGTGGATTCGATCCCTAAGTACTACAATCGATCAGCTGTGCACATGCGGCTATTGATTTCAATTAGGGTAAAACTTGACAACCCTCACGACAGCACACATCAGCCATCGAGTCCCCGAGTTGTCCCCTTACCTTGTATCAAAGGTTTTCAGCGAATAGTTGGGTCATAGGAAACTTTCCTACCCCTCACTTCGTTCCTTTGTGTGATCATTCCAACTTAGAAGTGAAATAATGGGATCCTTGGAAATTTTCCTAGCCCTTCACTTCTAAGCGAAAACCATCTCAATCTTTTCGCCTTTTTCTTTCTTTCTTCACCTTTTTAGCTCATCACAGGGAGAGAAACACCAACATTAAATTTCACACAGGCTTTCATTTGTCAAGTATGAACGAGGAATCAAACTCTATGAACATCAGTCACATCAATGAGGTAAAAGAAAGAGTTCAGAAATTAGCTCAGGTTAGTGGATTCTGTTGGAAACATGGACGCCTCTAGTCAACTGGTCAGCCTCTGGATTTTTCATTAGTCGGATCTAGACTGAATCTGCAGCAGTGGTCACTTAGATGAAAGATCAGCACAATAATTCCAGGAAATGCATCATAATCTCCAACAGGTTTTGACTCAAAAACGTCTTGACACGACTGACTCTTAAGAGAAACAAACACAATGTCAGCAACTACCTCCCCCAGACTTGAACAACACTGTCCCCAGTGTTATCTAGTAGGAAGTTGGTGAAACAAAAGAAAGGAAACAAAGAAACGTAGGAAAAACAGAGAACTTACCTGGCTGCAATGATGGTGTCAAGCGACACTGATGATGGTGTCGTGCGACACTTGTTCTTCTCGTACCAAATTGCAGCAGACCAATCCGAATTTCTGGTTTGACTCCGGTTCCCTGATTTCCTAAATTTTATTTTTTTTTTTTGACTGGTGTCGACCGACACTGATGGTGATGTCGCTCGACACTAACCACTTCGTATCTGTTACACCTAAAACACAAAAACAGAAAATAAAAATCAAAAGAAACAAAAAGACTTATGTACAGACTTACCAGTGGATTACCTTCCACCAAGCGCTTGTTTTAAGTCATTAGCTTGACTTGATGGATGGGCTATGCATCTGGTGGATCAGTCAGTGGCAAAGAATGCCTCTGTGAAAGTCGTCTCATCCATGGTGGTGTGTAAGCGTTGTGTGCATGAGGTCGTCCAAGGAATACAGGAATAGCAACAGGGTGGGATCTGTGTTTGTGTGGCCTTGACCTTTGCTTTGGTGGAGATGAATAGAGTGAGATGTTTTGAACTTCCTGATCAACAGCAGTCACTGGTTCTGTAGACGTTTTCTTCAACTCAGGTTGATCTCTCACCTTCTCAGCATCAAACACGTTTTGATCTCCAACTATCACTTCAAGTATTGCACTGACTTGGAATGTCTGACCATCTATGGTTGAATCCTTCAGCCTCTCCATCTTGAAAGTCATGATGGTATCTCCCAAGTGGAGATCAAGGTTACCATGCTTGGCATCAATTACCGCTCCAGCTGTAGCTAAAAACGATCTTCCCAGGATAAGAGGATCTTTGGGTTCCTCTCCATATTCCAGAACCACGAAATCTGTAGGAATTATGCAATCACCAACTTTGATCGGAACATCCTCCAAGACACCTATTGGGATTCTTTTAGATCGATCTGCTAGGATCAAAGAGATCTTAGTTGGCTTAAAGTCAGTCATCCCAAGGCTAACAGCTACAGAGTGTGGCATGAGGTTGACACTCGAACCAAGATCACACAGCGAACTCTTGAACCTCTCTGAGAAGATAGAGCAGTCCAAAACAAAGTTTCCTAGGTCTGCGAGTTTCTCTGGAATCTTATTCTGAATCACAGCACTGACCTGTTCAGAAATCATCATCACTCTTTCCTCATGACTCAGAATATTAGTCACCATCTTCTTCACATAGTGTTTGAGAGTAGGAGCAATCTTCACAGCATCAACCAAAGGAATCTCAATCACAAGCTTCTCCATCAAAGCCTTGCATCTAGCATCATCTAGCTCCTGCTTAGACTTCCTAGGACTCCTTGGGTAAGGAACCTTAGGTGTGTAGACCTTTTCCTCAGCAGATTTCGGACTTTGAGCAATATCAGCTTCGCTCTGCAATTGGTGACGCGCGACACTGGTTGTGGTGTCGCTCGACACCGGCTCTGCAACTTCGAAATTTTCTTCAGATTCTTCCAAGTCCACGATTTCATCCTCAGAAATACCCTTTTTCAGCACAGAAGTCAACTTTTTACCACTTTTTAACGAGATGGCACTGTAGTAATGCCTAGGATTGGTATCAGTCTTCCCAGGAAAGAATCCGTCTTGCCTTTTTACAGACTCTGCAGTTTGGCAACCTGAGTATCAAGCTTCTTAACATGAGTGTTCAGAACTTCAATTTTTCCATTCAGATCCAGATACAGAGCATCAATCTTCCCATTGAAATCCACAGTCATCTTCTGCTGACCTTCCAAGATCTGTTCCAGCATAGACTTCACCTCATTATCTGAAGTTTGAGTAGGAGGAGAACCATAGTTCCTTGAAAAACTGTTGTTGGAGTAGGATGTCTGGTACTGAGGTTTGGAGCTGTAACCAGAAGAGTTCTGATTACCTGTGAAGGTACTCCTCTGATTATTTCCACTGTAATTCATGTTCCCTTGCTGAGTACCAAATCTCTGACCCTGAAATCCAGCTCCATTGATGAAGTTAACATCCTCTTCCTCAAGTGCTTCATCTGGTTTGAAATTTTTAACCTCTGCAGCGTATCGGACGGACTTCTTACCCACTAGAAGGCTATGCACAGAGTCAAGCTTAGCCTTCACCTCAGCAATCTGCGATCCATCCATGTTTCCACCCTGCTTCTTTCGCTGATAGTCTGCATTCTTGGTACTATTGCTAGATGCCAAGTTCTCAATAAGCACAACAGCGTCTTCAGGGTATCTGGTGTTGAAGTTCTCATTGCTTGAAGCATCAAGAGCCATCTGAGATCTCCAATCAACACCTCTGAAGAAACTACCTAGCAGCTGAACATCACCGAAACCATGATGGGGGCAATCTCTCTGATATGACTTGAATCTCACCCAAGCAGCTTTGAATGCTTCAGTTGGTCCTTGAGAAAACATTGAGATTTTGAGTCTCAGTTCCTCAGACCTGGCATCATCATAGAAATTGTGCAGAAAAGCATTCCTGGTCTCCTCCCAGGTAGTCAGCGAACCTGGTTCTAACTGCTTCAGCCAGTTAGTTGCTTCTCCAGCAAGAGAATAAGGAAACAGCTTGCAGAGGAGGAAATCATTGGACACTCCATTGTATTTGATGCTGGTGACCAAGTCCTCAAACCTCTCGATGTGATCCATAGGGTGCTCATGAGAGTGACCATGAAAGGGATGCTGACCCACAAGAGTGTAGTACACAAGTTTCAGCTCAAAATCGTTTCTTTGAAACGCAGGGACGCGAATCGCAGACTGATTTGCATAGAATTGCTCAGGCCTATTGTAGTCACCCAGCGTCCTGATGATGTTACCCTCTCCATCAAGTCGCTGGCCTCTCTCATTACACACATGACCATCTTGGTCTCTCCAGACTCCAGCATCATCATGAACCAATGCCAATGCGTTCTCCATCTCTGCTGGTTTCTGAGACAAAGAGAAAGTAACAAAGTAAAAATAAAATTAAGAAAAACGATGAGTGTCACGCGACACCACTAGTAGTGTCGCTCGACACTAAGAAAAACTTAGTCAAAACTCAAGAACTAAAGTTTAATGGCGAAAATCAAGTCCCTGGCAACGGCGCCAAAACTTGATCTGCTCAAAGTTTAATCCCTAAGCTACTCTGCAAGAGCACAGATGTGCAGTTGTAGTATAATAGGGGTCGAACCACAGAGACGAGAGATTCGTTCAATAAACTCTATAGGCTTGAATTACGCTAAGAAAACACAATGAAATTAAAAGCAACAATGAAAGCAAAACGGTTGTAAACTCGATGGAAAAGAATTAGGCTCAGGGTATTTCTCAGTAAATCACAGAATGCAGATTAATCGATAAATCAGGGTTCAGGGTTAAGCACAGTTCTTGAACTCAAATCACGAAATTATAATTAACCAACTTCCGTTGCGAGAATTATCTAAGTCTAAATCCTATAATTCCAAATTCCTTTGCAAATCCTAAAGACATAAACCAGCTTTAATGCTCAAGTTCGATATGTTCACAAAGTATCTAAACCAAATTCCTTTGCGAATAGCTACTTTGCTCACCCTAGGTTCTTTCCAGTTATTCAATTACACTTCCGTGTCAATCAATTAACCTAAGATCTAAGTTCTAGGTGGCCAGTCTAGAATTACTTTAAGAACAACCTATGGTGAAGAACTAAATAGATTATGAACCCTAACTAATCAATCAATCCAACATCTAATGAAATTCTTTATGAGAACCCTAAACCTAACAAGCAAACTACTCAGACATGGAGATTGAAGCAATAAACATGAATGAATAGATTGCAGAAAGCAGTAAATAGATTAATAAATAGGGATTCGAAATCTTCTCTCTCCGGAACAGAGTTTCAGACTTGTCTCCCCAAAAGCTCTCAAAAACAAAAGTTCTCTCTAAGAAAATCTAAGGTATCGATATAAGGTGGCTAAAAACCCTATTTATAACTTTAAAACACGTTTTAGACTTCTTAGGGAATATTTGGAAACTTCTGGGCCCAACTCCTTCTTCAAACAGGAAACAAAATCGCCTTTTCCTTATTTCTTCGATCGGTGTCGAGCGTCACTCTCCATGGTGTCGAGCGACACTAAAGCACAAAATCCATCCTTGACGAATTTGATCCTGATTAAGCTCCAAAGTGCTCCAAAATCTCCAGTTAAGCTCCAAACGTACCTAAGACCTGTAAAGACTCCAAAAGACTCGAAAAACACTAGAAAGGCTCTATAAATAAGACCTATACCATGGTTAAAAACCATAAAAACCATGATATATCACTTTCAGCGTTTGGCGATCTGCTGATGTTAGAAAACGGTTGCGGTTCATGTTAAGGTGTAGTTGGGGTTTTGTGGTTCTTATCAGCGTCTTCTGATTCTTGTGCACGAAGCAAAAAGTGTGGCGGCGAGGTTTTAACTTAGTCGGCGGTTAATAAAACCCTGGTGGCTTCCTGGATATGTCTTCTATTCATACCCGCTTTCTGTCCAATCTTATTTTGCTCAGATCTGACCGTAATCTCGCTCACAAAACCCTATGTTGAACTGTCTTCTTCTTCCTCTTCATATACTTCTTTGATGATTTTCTCTGAGCCGGCTCTGATCTGCTCCGCTTGTCCTTGAACCTCCGATCTGCTCTCTATAGACCTCCAGATCATTGCCCAAACCACGCTTTCCTCTTTCTCCTCCTCCGACAAGATCACTCCCTTCCTCTCTTTGTTATGGACCCAACGGCGAGAAACACACCAAACAACATAGGCGACGGTGGATGATGCACTGGTGGATCATTGCCCAAACCACGCTTTCCTTTTTTCACTATTTATTCTCGACGACATGCTCTCTCTCTCTCTGTGTAAAGCGGCGGCTTTTCTGTCGAAGGATATTATACATATATACACACGCACACTCCTTTCTGTGTCTAAGTGTTTTTGGCTAATGGGTTAAATTAACATATAAAATTTTGGCTAATGGGCTTTCTTATTTATACACATAAAATTAATTACTATTTGTTTTAATGATTATAAATAATTAATTTCTCTCTTATTATTTGTTCATAAAAAATATGAAAAATAAATTATGTACATCTTTGTAAAAAACCATATGTATATATATATATATATATTAGCTTATAATCATAAAAAGACTAATCATCTCTGCAAACTTTGTTTTCTGGATATTTTTAATGTTCACTAAACCAACATTAAGTTGTTTTTCTTTTTACATTACCAACATTTTATAAATCCATTTTCAAATAACTGAACTTTTGTACTTATCATATATTTTGGAATATTTTTGTTGATAATCATGATTCACCAATGTTACATGGGTTATATAACCGTGGAGTAGTTGAAAAAATAAGAGATAATCATGGATCTTATTTTTCTAGCTTGTAAAGTTTGATCGAAATTGAGAGCATAGTAAATGTAAATGTTTAAAATCTATTTAGAAAGAAAAAAATCTATTTAAAAAGGACTTGTATTATAGAAAAATAATATCAGCATTTGGATTTATACAACTTCATCAATATATAGATATATATTCTTCTGAAAAAAAAATGTTAAACGAGCTAATTCATTAGAACTTATTACTGAATAAAATGTTCATACATCAGTCTAAAATTGCAACGAATTTGCTACACTTTTCAGTTGCATTTTTTACGATTTTTTTTTTTTATTTGTAGCTATTAACAACTAGCGTTTAGTCATTACATCGTCACAAATTGCTACTGATCAATCCATTATAAGTTTGTAACTAAGTTGTGATAAAATATTTGGTCATAATATTGTCACAGTTGTTAGGACTGTTACTTTTGTCACAATTTTGTTACTAATTGCGACAAAAGTTGGCTACAGTTTAGATCATCATAAATATTATGACGAAACAGTTACTCATTTGTGACATAAAATTTTGGTCACGATATTGTATTAAAAATGTCATAAATTTATGACGATTTATTTCCGTATTAAAATTTAGCCAAAATAGCTCCATTTTTTGTAATGCGGTCGATCACCTCGTTCTAACTACTCTACAATCATTAGCCAAGCAACCAAGATGAACAAACAAGTATGTTGGTGCTTCATCTAATGTTTTCCTTAATCAATTCACCTTCTCATGCTTCTATTTATATCCATCAATAATATTTGTGTCTGTGACACAAATCAACCTGAATAGATCTAGACTCAACACATCAAAGACAAATCAATAAAACAATAAAAGCCTAGATCTAATTTTCACATTCACAGTTTTGCAGATCTAGATCATAGAGAGCACGTGACGAAGGAATCAAGGAGTCGACAAGAAAGTTGGGATTCTTGGCGACTTTTTCTTTCTCTCGCGGCGGACGGCGGAAATAGCGGCGGCTGCAATCGATGGTGGTGGTGGATCGGCGGCTGTGGCTGGCGGCAGTAGCTGGTCGGCGGCGATTGGAAGCCGAGGAAATCTCTCTCTCGCTCTTAAAACTCTCTCTCTCTCTTTTTCTCTGAGTGACTGCAAATAATGATGAGGGGAAAAGTAAAATGGATGCTCTCTTTTTATAGGGAAAGAGGAGCTAGGATTACTAGAGCGGACCAGTGCTGAACCTTCTACTGGGCCTGAAAATTGGGGATGCTATATTGATATCCTGGGGCAAATATATTTTTCTTTTTTGCTTTGTTAGTTAGTTTTCTTTATTTTTTTACTCAAAGCTTTTCTTTTTGTTATTTTTCTCAGTTGATCACTGCCCACAATATCTCTATTAAATAGTATTAGATGAGACTGTGCGGATCTGCTTATGATGCAAACTCTGAAGATTGCATTTCCGAGCTTTCCACCCAGGTAGGATCTCTCAGACTCCTTGCCGCTGGTAACAGTAAACTTGTCGTCTATCTTATTTTAAGATTGTAGCTCTCTCGCAGATATGTGGAATTAGGTGAACCATATTTTAAATGAAAACTAACTAAATAATTGCGAAAGTGTGTTTTTTGTTACAGAAAAATCACATATGCATATCTAATCTCTCGAAAATTTCTTGTTAGTAAATTTTTCTAGTACAGACACCATTTTCACTAACTCTTCTCAATCTTTTTAAGATGGAATACATGTCACTCCTTCAATACAGACACCGCTTTTACAAATTCAAAGCAATCTGTGACAACAAATATTCTAATAAAATCAAATAATTCATTGCTCCTATAAAAGCTTTTAATTCAAATGTGTAGAAGAGAGAAACTTTTACGAACATTTCTTGCTCCCATTATCAATCTCGTTACATGAGCCATCTACATAACGCCATCTACATAACACACCACCCTTCATGATATGAAATTACCATAGAAAATATTATGTTTTGATCAATAATGCATACCCATAATACATCAATAATTATCTTTTACACTCATTTTAATACAACTACTACACAAACATGAGTATAAAAAGTATTTTATCAAAAAAATGCAACGACGATATGCATGAATTGAAACTTCCGATCTTCTCTAGGACTGCCACATAGTTGATGCTTTTCTCCACCTATACACGTGTTGTGTATGATATGGGCCTTAACTGGATATATGTTGTACCAAACTTTGCCCTCTGGGCTTTAAATCGATATTCAGATGACAAAAAAAGAAAAAAAAAAAAGTCTTCCAAATTTCAAACTTTGGACAAACGTTATTATTAAAAAATTAAAAGATCAAATCATTTTCAGAAAAGTGCAACTCATTATATCTCAAATTTCAACAAAACATAAAACATCTAGTCGTACAAATTAGAACCGTACAAATTAGAACATAACCCGACAATCAAATATCGGAATCTGGGTTAGATCACCACATGTACAGTACACCACAGTCACCGCTCATTATGTATTACTAGATTTATATCTGCACATACGCACAGATTTTGTTTCACATAATATAAAAATATATTTGTGTTTATATATATATATATATATATATTTAATTATAAGAATATGATAATTTGTTTGATTGTTTAGTATTAGATTTTAAAAAAATAAATTCTTTGTAAAACAAATAACTTTTTTTAAGGATTTGAAATATGATAATTAAAAAAATTATTCTACTATTTTAGAAATTATAAACATATTATAAATAAAAAAGACGTAGATAAAAGTCATATTTTTTTGGTTGAATTGCTTGAAAACATATAATTACCTCCAATTTTTAATGTTCTCAAATTTATGACATGTACAATTGCCTTGATTCTGCAAGAACTACCTCATACGTTATGTTTCACAATAAAATGCAGCTATAATAATATCATATTTGACCCATAAAAACTGTCAAATCTTTGAATGAAGATAACGCTACATTTTTAAATTTTTTCATACAACAAGCTTCGAAAAAAGTGTTTATGATAAAGATAAGCCGGAAGAAAAATATCAAGTTAGTATAAAAAATTATTAAAAAGTTTTAGACGAATACCAAAAAATTAGAAATGTAAAAAGTTAAAAATGTTGTTTATTTATTTTTGTTAGGAATGTGAAAAGCTTTAATATTAATGTAATTTAATAGTTATGAACATAAATACATATGAAATAAACATTAAATAGAATAGTTAAGTTAAAAGTAGTAGTATTAATTAGTTTTTATTTTTTTTATTTTAAAATTTATAATTTATTAATTAATTGAAAGGACAGGTGTCCTCCATTCAGATGCTGATGTGGCGGAAAAAGTTCACCTAAAATCATATATATGATTAAGGCCGAATTAAGGCCTAGTAGTTATGTTTTTTTGGTTCAAACCTAGTAGTTAGTTTAAGAATCTGTCCCCAAAACTTTTCTATTTCCCCTGCTTGTTGAAATGATTTTTACTTTTAATTGTAAGTAATGTTTCCTTTTTTTTTAAAGAAAGAAAAATGTTTCCTTTTTTCAAGAAAAAAAATTGTTTCCTTTTTCCCCCTTTTCTAAACCAAATAATAAAAATAAGACCAATCTGCTATCGATGACCCGAAAAAAGAAAAATTAAAAATATGCCATTGGATACTCTTTTTTCACTTTACCACAATATGATTTTTAAACTTGTTGATATATGAATATCGACAAGGGGTAAAACAGTACTTTTAGATCGGTAAACTCGGTTTTATTAGATCGAATCGAGAGGATACAACTGAGTTCGGTTATCAAGTAAATAATGACGAACTAAGACTTTATGAAACTAAGAATCTAGTGTAATGAGTTCTCAGTCTCTAAGTCTTCCCTAGAATATCCTGTCTTCTCTAGTGTCGATTCATCTCCCTTTATATATATTCTCTGAGTCGGTCTTCAAGCATATCTTCGGCGATATGAGACCGAGAGGACTTTCTTTTTCTCTCGGTTCCTTTCCTTTTCTCGTGTTAGTTTCCTTTTTCCGTTAGGAAACTTTCCTATTTTCGACCGAACTCGGGGAGCTTCTCCGTTCCTTCGAGAAGCTTCTCGCCGACCTCGGCCTAATGGGCTGCGTTCGGCCCAAGATTTTATTCAGCCCAGTCTTTCCGGTACATTCCTTTGTAAACCGGGCTTATATTACGCCGATTTCGGTTTGTCCCGGAGAAAACCGGGGTGCGGTTTTCACCTCCAACAGTTAGCCCCCCCCCCTCAGTTCGATGAAAGGAAGTGGCTTTAGTCGAACTTATTTGATTCAAAGTAAGTCACAAACTGAGATCGGTAACTGCAGTCGATTCGCATTCCCGGACGTTTCGCACCCTGTCTTCAATGAGGCGCGTGAATTCCGAGATTTTTGCAAAAATCGAGGAACCCACGATTCCCACTGTTTATAAGTGAAAAACTTCTTCTCGCATTCATTATTCTCGTTCAAGCATATATAAGGTACGCTGCTCTCCCTTCTCTCTAGATTTTACTTCTCTCTCTAGTTTTCGTTTGTAGTTCTCTCTCGTTTCCTCAACTCTCGCCGCCGCGATTTCTTGGGTTTTCCGATCGACCTTCAAATTCTCCGATCGATCTTCAACCTTTTCCGATCGATCTTCAAGTTCTCCGATCGATCTTCAACCTTTTCCGATCGATCTTCAAGCTGTTCTTAATTTTTCACAGATCTTCTTTCGACTCCATTCCTCCGAACTCAACATGTCTTCGAACTCTTCTTCAATCAATTCCTCCTCTAATCAGATCCTTCCAGAAGATCGTCGCGAGCCTTCGGAGCCGAGCTCTTCCTCTTCACATCCTCGTTCATCTGACTCTTCTTAGGGGGAAGGCAATCCCCCACAGTTAGTTCGTAAGAACTCTAAGTCGGTGGATGCGAGCAGCAGCCGTGCTAGGGTTCGAGTCGAAGCTACCGAGCGACTGGCGACAGAAACTCGCGAGACGGAAGCTCGGGTTAGGCCGAACGTTGGTGGTATTGACCACGAGATCGAGGAGGTCGAGGAAGCTGAAGGAGAGAATCAGGAAGAGGGCGCTACTGAGGCGGAAGCTGCCGAGGATAACCTCGATGCTGTGATTCATGCTTCGCCACCACTTCCAACGTGCAAAGTCGTTCGTCCCAGCAACGTGCCATCTTCCTCTGTCTCTCCGGATGCTGTTCGTGCCGTGCTCGAAGAAAGCGGACTCTTGGACCGAGTCATCTTCATAATTCCAGAAGCTGGAGATCGACCGTGGGACGTCCCCGAGGGTTTCCTCTGCGTTTACCTGACATACTTTACGCAGTGCGGACTCTCCTTCCCAATTCCTTCTCGCCTGCTCGGCTACTGCAATCGTCGTGGCGTAGCTCTCACGCAGGTGATGCCGGCTTCGATAACGAACTACGTAGGGTTCGTATCTCTATGGGACGAGCTCGGTGAGATTCCAACCAGTCGGCTTTTCGAGGACCTCTTCTCGGTGAACATCCACAAATCCAAGGAGTGGTTCTTCGCTGCGAATGCTAAGCCGAAGAAAAACATAGTCACTGGGCCTAAACCCAGTAAATTCAACGACTGTGAATCTCTATACTTCTTCCTTGAGATGAACGATATCACAGTCAGTAACTCTGACATCCCGACTCAATCGGAGTGGAAGATTCCGATCGGTAGATTTAGATGATCTTGTACTTTGTCGTTTTTCTTATCAACTTTTTATTTCGCTAATTCTCCCTCGATTCATCTTTGCAGGTCGTCATCTTCCGAGCATTATTCTCAACTCCGGGCTCACATCTGAATTCGAAGAAGCCTTCAGCGAAGCCGGTAAACGTCGTTGGCCCGAAGTTTGGGAAGAAATTCTCCAATGCCGATCTAAGAAAGCAGGTTTGATCGTCGAGCTTATTTTCGTGTTCTTATTTTGAGTTTATTCCGAACTCCTCCTTGACATATTTTCATTGCAGCTTCTGTCCGAGAACCGAAACCGCAGAAGCCAAAAGCTCGAGCTAACAAGCCCCGAGCTGCTCCAAGACGAAAAGCACCTAAGTCGCAAGCCAAACGCACACGAACTGCCAGGATGCTGTCACTCGACGAGATTCCAACTTTATTCGATGAAGAAGAGCCGAACGTTGCAGATCCGACTTCTATCCCTGCCACTGAAGTGACGAACGAGCAGCCCGAAGAACTGCCTCCTGCTGCGAACTCACCTGACCAGACTGGTCAGAAGAAGCTGAAGAAGAAGAAATCCTCAAAGAAGATAAAGAGAATCGAAGGGTCTTCTCGTATGCCAGACACCGCTGCCGAACTGGATCCTCCGACAGCTGCAATGTCGGATCTCGCGATTCCTTAGGATCAGCCTGAAGCCTCCAACTCCCGGAAAAGGCGACATAGGGAGCACGCTGAGGACTCTCCGGAGCCGGAGCCATTCAAAAGGACTAAGGTGTGTTTTGACTATGATGAAGAGGGTCCTTTTGAGGAGACATCGACGCTTGCGCCGATCTTTACCACAAGATCTCCTCCGACGTCCCGAGTCTACCAGCGATCTCTGACCTCTGGTTCCCTAACTTGTACAAGGGGATTGCTCGTACCACCGCCGTGGTACTTCTTCTATCCCTTCTTTTTATTTTGATATTTTTTCTAAGTATGAGCTCTAACCAATGCTTCACTTTGTGCAGCTCGCCAGCCAGACCAACACTCTGGTCGCCGCGTACGAGGTTGCCCTGTACGACGAGCAAGTGAGAGTCGCGGAGCTTGAGGAGAGGATCGCCAAAGCAGAAGAGCGCCTTGCTACCGAGCTCCAAATCAATGACACTCTCCATTCCTCGGTCGATTTACTGAAGCAGGAGAGCGCTGAGCTTAAAGCGGTAAGGACCGCCTGACTGAGGCTCAAACATTGCTTTCTCAAGAGTTCAAGAAAGACCGGGAGCGACTGAGGGGCTTGGTGGCAAACTGGAAGGCTCGAGCTAAGAGCGTGCATGCAAAGGCCTGCGAGCGTTTAGAGAAGGTCATCCGGAGCTTGGACGACGCTGACAGGGCTCGGAAGCCGTACTTGGTGGTCAACCAGCTCACAGGAGTTCTTGGCTTCATCAAGCAGTTGAAGAAGAAGGGCTTGTACGAGGTCCCGCCCGAGATGGTAGCTGACATCGAGGCAAAGCATGCCAAGGCGTTGGAAGACTTCCGTTCGGTCGATGCTTGCGTTCTCACTGAAGAGGATAAGAAGATGTCTCCTTTCGCGGAGGAGGATGATGCGCCGGCTGTGAATGTAACCCAAAGCGCGCAAGATCCTGCGAGGCGCGAACAGTTTGGTTCGAACGAGGATACACTTAACGCTGATCAAGCCGCAACCTCAAAGACCGCTTAATCTTTTTCTGTTCTTTTTCTCGAACTCATTTGCCCTTTCATGGGTTATTTTGCTTGTATTATTTTTGTTTCCGAGCCCTTAGTGGGTTCTTGAACTTATTTGCCTCTCGGGAGGCTTTTAATTATATGCTCGTTTCTCTTCTTCTTTCTTATCTTAACGATTTAGAAGAATCTTTTAAGTAGTAGATCGGTATCTAACTTGAACTTTTACTTTATTTCGTTGGTAACGATTTGTGACTAATGCTTAAAGTACTAGATCAATACACATAATTTTATCTTTCGATAGCGAATTGCGATAATTCGGCTTACGTTTTGCGAGTGTTGTGAACTCTGCTTATGGTGCGAATCTGAGGAGTTCGGCTTATTGTGCGAGCATTTGAGCTCGGCCTGAGGAACCCAAGTGAATCGTTTCGTACTGGAAGAGTGAATTGATTCAAACTCTTGTAAACGCACGAAACGAGTTCAAGGTTTTTCTAAGTCGAACCTAAGTATGCGAGATGTGCTCGGCTTATTGTTCTTGGTGACTTAGAAATTTTACTGCGGGACTGGCCGCGGCTTTTGATATGTGGTTTTACCACGGCATCATGTGGGTGCTTGCGAGACGGATCTCGGCTTTTTAAGTTGGCATTCATGTGGAATGCTATCGAACAACTGGCCAGGAAGTCGATGTAAGAACAAGGATTTCGGTATCTTGTGTTTTCCGAACTAGAACTTAGACGTTTTTGACTTAATAAAATTTTATTGATGTTATAGCTGGACTCGGTAACGAACTGCCTACGTACCCTTTAAAGGGATCAAGCCATTCGTAGTTCTAAGTACAAAAGTATTTCTTGCTCCGACTAAGTAGTTTAGAGGCTTTTTTTTTTTTTTTGATCGGTTCGTAACGAACTAATAGTAGTACCGTTTGAGATGCATCGAGTTCCAAGATCGTTGGATCGGAGTTCCGTCTAACTTCATGAGTTGATAAACGCCGGGCTTAACAACCTTCATCACTTGGTATGGGCCTTCCCAGTTCGCGCCGAGTTTTCCTGCGTTCTTTTCTTCTGTGTTTTGATAGACCTTGCGAAGTACGAGATCGCCATCTTCAAAGTGACGGCCTTTAACCTTCTTGTTATAGTAACGAGCTGCCAGTTGTTGATAGTTTTGTATCCGGAGTAATGCTCGTTCGCGATGTTCTTCGACCAAGTCGATTGTGTCGAGCATCATGTCGTTATTCGCGTCGGGTTGCTGGGTGAACATGGTTCGGCGAATACTTGGGACGTTGCGTTCGGCTGGACACATAGCTTCTGTACCGTACGCAAGGAAGAATGGTGACTGACCAGTCGAACGTCCTGGTGTAGTTCGGTGAGACCACAAGACACCATCGAGCTCGTCCGCCCAAGTTCCCTTAGCGGTATCGAGTCGCTTCTTCAGACCATCGATAATGGTTTTGTTCGTGGCTTCGGCTTGTCCGTTCCCTTGTGGGTATCGCGGGGTGGAAAAGCTTAGTCGGATTTTCCACTTGGCGCAAAAATCTGTGAAAATTATCGAAGTGAACTGGGTTCCATTGTCCGTAACGATCTCGTACGGGACTCCGTGTCGGCAGATGATGAACTTCCAGACAAACTTCTTGACATCGATTCCATGAATCTCGGGGTATGCCTCGGCTTCGACCCACTTGGTGAAGTAATCTGTGACGACCAAAACGTACTGCTTCTGAGTCGTAGATCGGCGAAAAGGACCGATGATGTCCATTGCCCAGCGCATGAAAGGATATCGTGCGGTCGAGGTCATCAAGAGCTCGGTAGGAAGGTTGATCATTGGGCTGTGCCGTTGGCACTTCTCGCAGTGTGCTGTATACTTTTCGCAGTCAGACAGCATAGTAGGCCAGTAGTAGCCAACTTTTTTGATCTTGAATGCCAAAGACCGAGCTCCGGAGTGATTCCCTCCTTCTCCTTCGTGAACTTTCTGCATTACTTCCATGATGTCGTTGCCGCGAACACAAGTCAAGAGTACGCCAGACGCATCCCATTTGAGGAGAGTGCCCTTAATGACCACATATCGAGCTGCTCGAGCCTTAAGGCGTCGAGCTGCCCATTTATCTGTCGGGACCGTTCCATCTCCTATGTAGCCCACAATTTCTAAGGTCCAATCTTCGGGCTCGTCTTCACCTTCGGCTTCGATATCGATTGGAATATGTTGGCCTTCGGATTTATCTTCGAGATCAGATCCGGTGTCATCTTGTTCGTCAAAGTTGGTGTTGAGATCGGTGACGACCTCTCTGGGTTTTGTCTTTCGGGTGAGAGGTGGAGCGAGATTGGGTTGGGCTTCATAATCACGTCGTCGTGTAATGATGTTGCAGTTTGGAGCAGGCTCGATACTTGATCGCTCAATTGCCGCGATTGGGATAGTTCGCCGAAGATCGGGATCAGAATTAGTTGCGAGAGCGGCTAAGGCGTCTGCGGTTGCATTCTCATCACGGGGTATCTTTGTAAGCTCGAAGGTTGAGAACTCCGAAGCAACATCCTTAAGGATTTTGAGGTACGCGTCCATGCGGTCATTCTTGGCCTCGTATTCGCCGTGAAATTGGTTAGCCACAAGTTGAGAATCGCAGTAGGCATGTACGTGCTCGGCGCCGATACCTTTGGCAAGTCGTAGTCCGGCGATCAATGCTTCGTACTCGGCTTCGTTGTTGGACGCCGGGAAGCCAAGGTGGAATGATTGTTCGAAAACCTCTCCTTCGGGGGATTTGAGACGAATCCCGACGCCGGATCCTTTATGGGATGAGGAGCCATCGGCGTGGAGAATCCAAGGTTGTATGACAGGATTAGCTTTGACGAGCTCAGGTGGGAGTTTGACCAAGAAATCCGCTAAGACTTGAGACTTCGTTGCAGTTCTTCCTCGATATTCGATGTTACACTCGCTAAGTTCAATGGCCCACTTGGCCAGTCGTCCGGATTGACTTGGACTATGGAGGAAGGTGCGAAGAGGGTAGTCGGTTAGGACAACGATCGAGAAAGACTGGAAATACGGGCGTAACTTCTTTGCAGAAATAACCACGGCAAAGGCGAATTTCTCCAAGGTCGGGTAACGATATTCCAACCCATCGAGGGATTTACTTATGTAGAAAATTGGCTTCTGCTCGCCACGGTCCTCTCGAACAAGAACACTGCTGACCGCGAACTCCAAAATTTCGATGTAGAGATAAAGTGTCTCGCCGGTTTCGGGTTTGGATAAGATGGCGGCGTAGACAAGTATTTCTTCAGCTCGGCAAAGGCTTCTTCGCACTTCTCATTCCACTCGAGATGTTTGTTACCGCGAAGAAGTTGGTAGAAAGGTAAGCACTTGTCTGTCGATCTGGATATAAATCGATTCAATGCTGCAATACGTCCGGTGAATCGTTGAACTTCGCGTTTGGTTGTCGGAGACGGGAGCTCGAGTATGACTGCAATCTGTTTTGGATTAGCTTCAATGCCATGCCATGTGACTATGTATCCGAGGAACTCTCCAGATGTTATGCCGAACGTACACTTAGTGGGATTAAGCTTCATGCCATACTGATCCAAAATATCAAAGCATGTGCGAAGATGACCTACGTGATCGGAATCGACGAGCGATTTCACGAGCATATCGTCAATGTAAACTTCCATAGTCCGTCCGAGCTGGCTTGCAAACATCCGATTCACCAATCGTTGGTATGTTGCTCCAGCATTCTTCAGTCCAAAGGGCATGACCTTATAGTAGTATATGCCGCGGTCCGTGATGAACGACGTCTTTTCTCGATCTTGCGGATGCATAAGAATCTGATTATATCCGAAGAATGCGTCCATAAATGAAAGTAGCTCGTTCCCGGCAGTTGCTTCCACGAGGCGGTCGATATGAGGCAAGGATAAGCTATCTTTCGGACATGCCTTATTGAGATCGGTAAAGTCGACGCAAATCCTCCATTTACCGTTCTTTTTCTTAACGACTACGGGATTTGCTAACCAATCAGGATATTTGACTTCAGTAATAGATCCGGCTTTGAGCAACCGCTCGACCTCATCGTTTACGGCTTGTGCCTTCTCTGGTCTGAGCTTTTGGCGTTTCTGCTTGATTGGCTTATACGTCGGATCGATGTTGAGCTCATGACACGCGATCTGTGGATCGATCCCGGGCATATCTTCCACCGACCAAGCGAAGGTTGACGAATGCTGTTTCAGAAAGTGAATGAGTGGCTCGCGGATGATTGGATCGAGCTCGGCGCCGATTCCGACTTGACGCTCTGGCCTTAGTTCGTCGATGCAAACTTGAACGATCGACTCCTGCTTAGGTTTTGTCTGCTGGATGACGAGCTTGTCCGTTGGTCCTAACGAACTAATGACACAGGCTTGGTTGGCTGAATGAAGTCTGCACTCGTTTATGTAGCATGATCGAGCGACGGCTTGGTTTCCTCGGAGAGTGTAGACACCGTCGGGAGTCGGGAACTTCAGGCATTGATGGTACGTCGAGGCGACCGCTTTCATCGCGTGTAACCAAGGCGTACCGAGATTAGCGTTGTAGATCGCCGGTTTGTAGAGGATGAGGAACTGGATAATCTTTGCGACTCCACCGAGGTAGATCGGGATGTTGACCATGCCGACCGTCATGCAGCGTTCTCCATCGAAACCTGTAAGTGGGTTGATAAAAGGCTCAATCCTATCGGATGATAAATCGAGCTGATCAAGTGCTTCCTTGAAGATGATGTTGACCGAACTGCCTGTATCGACCAGAATGCGGCTAACTTCGACGTCGTCCAGAAGTTGTTCGACAACAAGGGCGTCGTTATGCGGTTTATGCAGCCCGATTGTGTCGGCTTCGGTAAATACCAAAGGTGTCCCTTTCGGCGGATCTTGTGGGGCTTTGGGCGCGCTAGCGGCCTGTCGACTGTATTCTTTGATAGCTCGAACCGAATAGCTGCAAGCCTCGATGGCTCCCATTATCATGTTGACGCGTTTCCTAGCTTTGGGAGCATGGTTCTCTTGTGCTCGGTCGTCGCGATTTCGTTTCTGTTGTTCGGGCAAAGCAGGCGGGTTTGGTGGCGGCGGTGGTAACGCCGGTAAAGTTGGTGGAGTTAGCGGATCCTTAGTGATTGCGTTCTCGAGCTGCGCGTTATTCGGTCGAGGCATGTTTGAACGACGGAGATCGTCAATCGAGGTCTGTCCACTGTTCTTGGACGCGTTTAAGCGACGGAGATCGTCAACTGAGATTGGCCCTTTTCGATATTGGCCGAGTAGGTATTCACGCAGGTGTCTGCACTCTTCGGTGCTATGTCCTCTTCGGTTATGGAATTCGCAGAACAAAGACTCGTCCTGATCTTCTTCACCGCGGACCCATTTGTTGTTCCACTGTTTGGTCGGTTGTTGGATCGCATTAGCGTAAAACTTCTTACGATTCTCGTACCCTCGACCGTATCCAGATTGTGGTTCGTTAGTTGTTACTTTCGAACGTTCGGGTTGCTTTGTTGAATAACTCTGCTCGTAAGCGGCTTCTTCTTCCTCTTCGGCGATGTAAGTATTAGCTCGGTGTAATGCATCTTCTAACGTCTGCGGAGGGTTCTGCGTGATCGCGCTTCGGAAGCTAGTCTTTATCCGAGCTCCTTTCTGAAGGCATAAGAGGGCTGCTTCATCGCTGATTGTACAATTAGCGACAATCGTCTTAAAGCGCTGGATGAAATCGTGAAGGCTCTCGCTTGGTCCTTGGGCTATTTGCCAGAGCTCGGAGTTCTTGGTGTTCTGGCCGATGAACACGGAGAAGTGTTTGACGAAGGCCGTCGTTAACTCCTTGTAGTTATCGATTGAATTGGCCTCGAGTCGCGAGAACCAGTCGAGAGCTACTCCTCCTAAACTTTCCACAAATAGTTGGCACTGAACTGCGTCTCTCTCCTCGGCGGATTTGAACTGGTATCGATTCATGCAGATGCCGAACGATGTTAAAAAGTGCCAGGGGTCAGTATTGCCTTCATAGACCTTTATCTTTAGTTTCTCCATATGTTTGACCAGCGTTCCTGCTACGCGTGGTGTGAAGGGTGTCTTCTGTGTTTCTTGAATGACGCGCTCGATCTCCGGAGCCGCGCTCGTTGCTTGGTGTATCTTCGAAGTGATCTCGCGAAGTTGCGCCTTCATTGCTTCGAACTCAGCGTCTCGGCTCAAATCCGATGCTGGTGCATTTGCTGATCCGACTGCGGTAGACCTCATAGTTCCGGCTGGATCTCCGTCAGTATTAAGATCGTCAATGATGTTCCGAACTCGAAGGGGAGTTCGTGCTTGACTGAGTTCGGCGATTTGTGCCGCCATCTGACTGAAACGTTCCTCGCTCCTTTTGTTAATGGCCTCAAATTGGGCGTTGAACACTTGGAGCAGCAATTCAGTTCTGTATCCTCCTACTGCTGCGGGGGTTTGGCCGTCTACAGTTCCGGCGTTTTCCCCGGGAATTCCTCTTTCTTGTTCCGTTGGGACGTTAGCGTTCTCTCCCCCGAGAGGGTTTCTTTCCTCGTGAATGTTGGTTTGATCTGTCATTGCTGATTCGATCTTATCCGAAGTCCGATTTAAGACTGAAAATTCTGTTTAGGCCCCCTTCCTGGCGCACCAATTGTTGATATATGAATATCGACAAGGGGTAAAACAGTACTTTTAGATCGGTAAACTCGATTTTATTAGATCGAATCGAGAGGATACAACTGAGTTCGGTTATCAAGTAAATAATGACGAACTAAGACTTTATGAAATTAAGAATCTAGTGTAATGAGTTCTCAATCTCTAAGTCTTCTCTAGAATATCATGTCTTCTCTGGTGTCGATTCATCTCCCTTTATATATATTCTCTGAGTCGGTCTTCAAGCACATCTTCGGCGATATGGGACCGAGAAGACTTTCCTTTTCTCTCGGTTCTTTTCCTTTTCTCGTGTTAGTTTCCTTTTTCCGTTAGGAAACTTTCCTATTTTCGACTGAACTCGGGGAGCTTCTCCGTTCTTTCGAGAAGCTTCTCGCCGACCTCGGCCTAATGGGCTGCGTTCGGCCCAAGACTTTATTCAGCCCAGTCTTCCCGGTACGTTCCTTTGTAAACCGGACTTATATTACGCCGATCTCGGTTTGTACCGAAAAAAACCGGGATGCGGTTTTCACCTTCCAACAAAACTAATATATGAGCATTTTGCAATGAAAAGATAACTTTCGCAAGGACAACATTTTCAAATGATACAAAAATATTTTGTTAAGTGATGGAAAATTTGGAATATCGAAACATGAATAACACTGACCATAGGGAAGACAGATTAACAAACAAAAGAAATCAAGGAAGTTAAAATTGTATGGATCACAGGGAATAAAACATTTCACATCTTTTATAGTATATATATGTCCAACAAAGAGTGGACAGTACCAAAAAAAAAAGCAGTCGTAAGATAACATAAAACTTAATTTAACATTGAGATCATAAGTAAACCTAAAATTTAAAAGAAATCAGAAGGTGGATCTATATGATTATTACTATTTTTTGTTTTGTTATCATTATTACTAATTACTTGTGGTTTGGTGTGTTTGTGACTGAGCATAATGCCCCAACTCTTTAGCTTTCTCCGATATCTTCATCTTCGCATAATCTACTTTATCCGCTCCCATCAGATGTTTCCCAATGACGTACTTATAGATCCACGATAAAGCCGTCGCTGCTGCCACCCGAAAATAGAAATCCTGCTGTTAAAACCCCAATTGTTATCACTGCTGGCACCAGCACCGGGCTGAAGAGAACCATCAACGGTGTAGCTATGATTAAACCTATCATTGTTTCGGTGAGCGTCAGTCCAGAGAGTACTAGAAGTGACAAGCCGATCATCGCAGCTGTTAGGAATCTCATAGTTTGTCGAGTCAACGGTGGTGATATTGACGATGATTCATGGAGATTTCGCGACATTGGTTGTTCCGCCATTTTCTCTCTTTGTTTTTGTTTTTTGTTATTTTGTGATTTGTGAATGATGTGTGAAAGTCGATGAATATAACAGAGAAATGGAAGGAGACACTTGGCGAACGATGAGAAGCGATACGTGCGTGTGTTAAGTGGGCGTGTCAGCTCTGCATGGAACTATTCTTGACGTTGACGAGGTACTGACACGTGATTACTCAGATTTGTGTATCAGATATCTGATTGAACGCTCCTGAAGCAGGTTATTGGGCTACTATCTGGGCCTATCGTGATTGCACTTGCAAACATGCAAAGTTGAATTAGGTATATTTTTTTTTTTTTTTTTACTATGGTTATAAAAATCCACTCGAATAGATTTGGAGAACTTGCATTGACGGAAAAAAAAAATTTGGAGAACTTTCTCAAAAACCTAATTACTCGGACGAAGTGATTCTATGGCGAAACTCAAGGTTGCTGGGACATGGAGAGGCATAATAGAAATAGAACTCGAGAACTGGACTGTAACCATGTTGAGAGACGAAGTAGCCAAGCGATCGGGCCTCGATCCTGAATCAATCAAACTAATTTTCGCCGGGAAAATCCTCAAAGACCATGGCGATGGTACTCAGACGCTTGCTCAATTGGGTATTAAGGACACCTCGAAGATCCTCTCCAGTCGCGGTGCAGCAGCAGAAGAAGGGAAGTCTATCATGGAGGAGGAAGAAAGGTCAAGACGTCTCTCTCGTGTCAAAGCTGCAGCTACAGCGTTGTCCAAGAGACACGCTGATGGTTCGTTGCCGATCGAAGACTATAACATAGAGCTGGAAGATCAGGGAGGTCATAGAGTAAATTTTGGAACAGAGACTGATCAGAGTGCAGCAATGATGGGTCTTATGCTACATACTAAGGGAAAAAGTCTAATAGAAAGGGGAATGTATTCTGATGCAATAGAAGTTCTTGCCATGGCAGAGGAATCGTTCTTGGTCTGTGATCCCAAGATTCTCGAGTTTGTTGACAACATCTCTATAATGGAAATCGACATTGTATGGTGCTATTTCTTGCTCCGGGACCTCAAATGCCTGTCAGATGCTGGCGTCCGCCTTGAAAAAGCAAGGAAAGGACTGGAGCGTGCTCATGGGAAGGACCTTTCTCGTGTGAGACTCCTCCAAGCTGGTCAATGTCCAGAATTGGCACTGTGAGTTCAGATTCATTATATTTGTTATTTCTACGGAGTAACCTTTTTGTTAAATATTTTGTGTTTCTACTGGCTAGATATGTGAGACTGGAGTTACTAGAAGGCGTGGTTGCATATCACACTGGTCAAAATCATAAAGCCTTGAATGCACTGAAGTCCGCTCATGCAAAATTGTTGCAGGTCAGTGAGTTGTTCTGTAATATAACTTCACTCTTAATGATATTCAATTTTTAATAGAGTTAATGTTCTTTGGCAATGTGATGCAGCTACAAATACCCGATGAAACGCTGTCCTTAGTTATGGGTATGGGTTTCCAGGAGAAGGATGCTAAGAGAGCTTTACGACTGAACAATCAGGATATCGCGAGTTCTGTTGATTTCCTCATTGAAAAGAGGGCCAAAAGAGTTCAAAAGCTGAAGGATAATCACCAGAGACAAAAAGAGATACTTGAGCAGAAGACGTATGGAGTGACACCCATGAAGAAAGCTGTTGATATGCAGATGCTTGACAGGCTCGTCTCGATTGGATATGCGAGGGATCTTGCTGCTGAATCCCTCAGGAGAAATGAGAACGATTTTCAGAAAGCTCTTGATGGACTTACGAATCCAGAAGTTAATTGCTCGATACAGGTTTACATTGAATCTAGGAAAAGAAAACGACAGGAAAAACTAGTAGGCATAACAGTCGACGAACTTGTTTCTATGGGCTTTGAACGAGGACAAGCAACCTCTGCTTTGGAGGCAGGTGGCGACCGAGAAGATATCATTCAAAGGATACTATCTTTAGAAAAAGCAAACCCAGGAACTGCTACTCTTATAGGCAATGGCGGTACAGCGAGTAGTACAGACAATGGGGCTGGAGAAAGCATATCAAATGAAATTGATGGTGGGGCAGAGCAGGACGCTGAGATGAATGATGAAACAACGGATGAGATTGAAAACCGAGGAAGCACATCCGGTGAAAGTGATGGTGAGGAAGAGCGGGACGCTGAGATAGAACATGAAATAGCAAATGAGATTGCGAAGGTTGATGCTTTGTCTGCTTATGATATCAATCTTGATAGAGAAATTGAAGCTATAAATGAGTACCTGGGCATGTTAGATGCATCTCAGACTTCTGGTTGAAGAGCTGTTCCCAGCAAGAGAAGCTAAGATTCAGAAAATTGGAGATAAACGAATAATAATACTCATCAGACTTATTGCATGGCCAATATGGGTATGGTACCTTAATTAGTTTGTTTTTTTTTTTTCCTTTCAAAGTACCTTAATTAGTTTTTTTTCCCTTCAAAGTACCTTAATTAGTTTTTTTTTTTCCCTTCAAAGTACCTTAATTAGTTTTTTAGTATGATTTGCTATGCAGAAACTAATTTACTAGAATTAGGTATATTTATTTTAAATAAAAAGATTTGGTAATTGAGGATATATAGTTGAAAATTGTTATAAAAACAACTGAAATTTTAACTTTTGAGTTTTGACCATTCATGACTTATCATTGTGATTAGTCTAAATCATAAAACTATGTTGATTTTAAATTTGAAATTTTAATATTTATTGACTGAGCCAAATATATATATATAATATAAATAAACAACTATTCAAAATCATAGTTAACTGATATGATCCTTTTTTAGTTTATCTTAAAACTCCAAATTTTAAATGTTATTTTGTGGTATGAGGTTTTAAGAAGAAAAAAAGAAACGATATCATATCAGTTAACCTTGATTTATAACAGTTTTTAAGCTATTTATCTACTCTATTTATGGATTTAACATTATATCTAATCTGGTTTAATTAACAATGTAATTTAAATTTGAAGTCAAGAGAATATAATAATTTAAATTGTGTACGTGATAGTTTGTGTTTTGATTGATCAAAATTTAAAAATTTATGTTTTTATATTTTTATTATATCAAATTAAAAGTATTTTAAGTTAGTAAAAATAATAAAATATATATGAAAGAAAAGTTTTAGAGAAGTAAAAAAAAATTAAAAGAGCGAATTTATTGGAAATTTTTCTGATATCAAAATTATTATCTGCCGTAGTTTCTAAACCTTATGTTCTCATAAAAAAAATCCTAATTTATTTAATTGAACATAATTTACAAGAATTGATTATATATGTATTAATTGGAATTGAGAAGTTTGGATAGTTTAGTGATGAGTGAAAAAATCTGAATATAAATAGTTTGGAAATTTATATTATACTAGGATACTGGCCTGCATGCATGTGCGGGCTTGAACGTTTTTTAAAAGATTGGATATAATTGAGCTGATGTTAAATATATTAAAAGTCAGTAGATTGGTTTCTGATGGGCTCATATTGGTATATAGATTGCGATGGGCTCATATTGGTATATAGATCGCGACGAATTACAAAATATTTAGTCATTGATCAGTGTTTTGTCATTTATTTATATAACGGTTTATTTGTTACTATTACTACATATATTATATATTATGTAATGACAACAATACATTTAACTTATACTAAGAGCGTCTAGGTGATTCGTCATGCGAACCAACCACCTATTCGCTCTTAAGACCAGTTTATTATAAAAAAAAAATTGGCTAGAATACTAAGCCGCACACATGTATAGCATGATTAGTGATATAATTTTTTTTAATATACTTAGTATTTATATGGGTCATGACTATGTAATGACCATCATATACTACGATCCTAGGGGGTTTGCCAACATGTACGGTCGTAATAATCTTGTCAAAATAAGTTATGTAAAGGAAAAATGTAGTTCAGCTATAAGTTATCTGTGATAGTGTCAAAACTTTCTCGGCATATTATTAACAAAATTTTAGTTTTTATTTTTCGTTTTTGAGTTATAGTTTAATTGATAAAAGAATTTCTTTTGGGAGAAATTTTTTTTCTTTGTTTTCACATGAGAAAATATTATCTAAAATGTGTTTACACAATGAAAAACAAATACAATAACAAATCTCCAAACATATTTTCCTAGGGTCATCTAATTTAAAGGCTAGATTTAAGACCAATATTGAAATATTTCAAATATATTTTCCTCGGAAGAAAAAAACTTAACAATAAATGTACTAAATGTAATGAACAATCTCAATCTAAGACCAATATTGAAATATTTCAAATATATGAGTTTGATATATTTGGGATGTCATGTATGTTCTGCTAACCTGTTAAAAACCCATGTTTGTAAAACACAAAACATAGAATGACTGGACTACACATCTCAAACAAAAAAAACCTATAATTGAAAATTGTATATATATGTAAATGAGTTAAAAACCCCTAGAACAAATGTGTTTCATGCAACAGATGTCCTGTAAACAATAAAAAAAAACATGTTAAATTCATTAAATCTTATCATAGTTGATGAAAAACTTATTAATTAAAAATAATCAAAGCAAACAAAACTTTTTGGAGAAATATATTAGAAAAGGGAAAGATCGTCTTTAATTCTGAAACCTTACATGATAGAATTCTAGTGATGAAGACCAAAATTTTCATTTGCATTAGTGCTCGGGATTCCAGTCTAGACCAAACTTTCCTCCATATCCTAGACCAAATTTTCCTCCATGTATTTTGATAAAGCATTCTGACTTGTTTTCCAGAAAATGTATTTCCTGTTTCTGTAATAATAACAAAGAAATTTTATTAGTTTAAAATTTAAAAAACTGCAAGAAATAAAAATTGAAACGGTGAAAACTACAATTAAATTTTATGGCTAACAAAGATGAAAGGGATTGAAGAACGGGTTCTCTTATATAAGGTAAATTTAGTATAGCTTGTGAGATAAGTTTTGATAATAAATAAATATAAATTAAGACAAAATCTTCAAATCGTTATAATTTACCAAAATTGTAGCATGAATATAATAATTAAAATGTGATATTCAAGA